GAATATATTTTCACGAAACATGATAAAATGACACGTATTTTCACGAGCCAGGACGGCAAGTAAAATTGGTGACATTTTCTTATGTTTAGAGAAAATAAATACCATATTTCACGTTTTTAATTTCATTATAAAAGAAAACAAGAGGGCCATCATGGCCCTGGATCGCTCACCTGACACAACCGCATCCCAGCAATGTGTGAAACAAGCATCATGGCCAAGTTTGATGACAACTGAGTCAAACATGTGACCTCTAGTGTGTTTTAAAGATTTTTCCATATTTGGGCAATGTGACCTAATTTTTTGACCGGACACGACCGATATTCAAATTTGACCTAGAAATCATCAAAACAACCTTCCTGACAAATTTCAAGGGAAAATTTGGATCAAAACTGCAGCCACTAGAGTGCTAACAAGCTTTTTCTTTTTCTAGCTCCTGTGACCTCGTTTTTGACCGGAGATAACCCATCTTCGAACTTGACCTAGAAATCATCAAAACAACCTTCCTGACAAATTTCCAGAATATTTGATGACAACTGCAGCCCCTAATGTGTTAATAAGCTTTTCTTTTTTTTAGGTCCTTTGACCTAGTTTTTGATCGGAGATGACCCATCTTCGAACTTGACCTAGATATCATCAAAACAACCTTCCTGACAAATTTCCAGAATATTCATATGAAAACTGCAGCCACTAGAGTGTTAACAAGCTTTTTCTATTTTTAGCTCCTGTGACTTTGTTTTTGACCGGAGATGACCCATCTTCGGACTTAACTTAGATATCATCTAAACAACTTTCCTGACAAATTTCAAGAATATTTGGATCAAAACTGCAGCCCCTAGAGTGTTAACAAGCTTTTTCTATTTTTAGCTCCTGTGACCTAGTTTTTGACCGGAGATGACCCATCTTCGAACTTGACCTAGATATCATTACCATAACCTTCCTGACAAATTTCCAGAATATTTGGATGAAAACTGCAGCCACTAGAGTGTTAACAAGCTGTTTCTATTTTTAGCTCCTGTGACCTAGTTTTGACCGGACATGACCCATCTTCAATTTTGACCAAAATATCATCAAAACAACCTTCCTGACAAATTTCCAGAATATTTGGATGAAAACTGCAACCACTTGAGTGTTAACAAGCTTTTTCTATTTTTAGCTCCTGTGACATAGTTTTTGACAGGAGATGACCCACCTTCGAACTTACCCTAGAAATCATCACAACAACTTTCGTCACACATTTCCAGAATATTTGGAAGAAAACTGCAGCCACTAGAGTGTTAACAAGCCTTTTCTATTTTTAGCTCCTGTGACCTTGTTTTTGATCGAAGATGACCCATCTTCGAACTTGACCTAGATATCATTAAAACAACCTTCCTGACAAATTTCCAAAATATTTGGATGAAAACTGCAGCCTCTAGAGTGTTAACAAGCTTTTTCTATTTTTAGCTCCTGCGACCTAGTTTTTGACCCGAGATAACCCATTTTCGAACTCGATCTGTATTTCATTGAGACAAACATTCTGTCAAAGTTTGATGATGATCCAATCAAAACTGTGACTGCTAGACTGTTAACAACCCAATTGTTGACGACTAAACGACGCACGACGACGGACGCCGGACATAGCCTCATCACTATACCTCACCTTGACCACTTCGTGGTCAGGTGAGCTAAAAAGGTTTCGACTCCCCTTGCTTGCTACACAACTGCAATTGTACAGCGAGCAGTAATATATTGATTATTTATTTATTGGTGAGTGAAGCGGTTCAATACACATGAAATTTGTGTGTGTTTATATTATTTCATTTTTTTTCGAGCAAAATACAGAGTATTTATGGTGAAATAAATGTGGCATTTAATTAGTTTGCGGCAATGAAATAGCGGTCTTGTTTTGACTGATTTTCTACCTGCTGTTTGACGCTACATTGTGATGTTACATAAACAACGCTTTGAACGTATGTAAAGTGTTAAATGACTGAATGACTCATTTTCTTAGACCATTTTCTATCATTCTAGATTGTTTTCAAAACAAAATTCAGCAAACGTTGTTTTCCATTTATCAGGTTTTTAAACAAAATGGCAAAAGAAAACCCTTGAAATAGTTTTGACTCTGCCCACTTTCATATTTATATTTCATATTTATTGTTAACAAATATGAAATATATATGACTGATATAGCACTCTATATATTTCATTGGTAAAACAAAATAAAACAAGAGGGTTATAATGGCCCTGAGTCACTCACCAGAAACAACTGCTTTTCAGTAAAAGATAAAGACTACCTTAGAATGCTACAAACAAAGTTTGGTGAGCATCCATCAATTAGTTCTGTAGAATCAGACATTAAAAGGTATTTCTATTTTTAGCTTGAGCGGCCCCTAAAATGGGCCAATCAAATTAATATGAGCAAACTTGATAAAATACTACATAAGAATGTTACAGACAAAGTTTGGTGATCAACCATCAATTATTTCAGTAGGACATGATGTTCAAAGGTGTTTGTTCTATTTTAGCTTAAGCGGTCCCTAAAACGGACCAATCAAATTAATATGAGCACACTTGATAAACCACTATACAATGCTACAGATAAAATTTAATATGAGCAAATTCGATAAAGGACTACCCAAGAATGCTACAAACAAAGTTAAGTTATCATTCATCATGTAATTTAGTAGTAGGAGATGTTTAAGGTTTTTTTTATCTATTTATAGCTCTGTTGACCCCTAAAAAGAGCCAATTGGAATGGCATGAGCAAATTTAAGTGTGACTGTCACAAGGATGCTACAGACAAAATTTGAGATAAATCTGCCCATCAGTTTCAGAGAGGAAGATGATTGTTGACGAATGACGATGGACCACAGATGACAGACGCCGGAAAATCCCCCTTTGATACTAATAGCTCACCCTGAACCTTCGGTTCTGGTGAGCTAATATCATATTTGTGTAGGTTTATTACTGAATTTATATAACTCGTTGAACAAGCAATTATCATAGTATATCAAGCAATCCAAAAGTCCCCTACCGGTTAGAACCCCAGCAACATTTTGAATGGTCATTGGCCATTCACTTATGTTTTTCTTTTAAGTAAATTTGTTGAAAAAGTTCTTTAAAATGGATCACAGGAAACAGTTTGTATGTACAGACAGACAGACAGACGGACTGAAGAACACTCTAAAGATATTTTTTAAACATCCCTGTCATCAAAATATAACATTTTTAAAAGCAAAATTCTGAAAAACCAGATAACTCTTGAAAAAAAGATGCAAGACGTGATACATGATGTGAGTGTAACAAAGAACAATTAGTAATGAAGGTGTTGATAATGAATTTTATTTTGAATTTGAAGTTAAAGGAAGATAAGAGAATGAATAAGAAAAAATAAAAGCTTAAGGAGGAGATAATTCTGGACATATATGGATTTATAAACCTTGTCACATTATTATGATGTGGGAGTTTGAAGACGATCCTATAATGATTGAAGAAGTTGGAGTTTCTCGAAAAAAGTCAAAGTTCAAAAGGGGCATAATTCTGGAGATAGTCTTGCTAGAGTATTTAACTTTCTCACAAATGTTGAGTGATAATAAGAAACATATATATGAAGTTTGAAGTAGATACATTCAGAAACAAAGAAGATATTAAAAAAGAACAATATTGTTTTCATGAAAATTCTTAGTTCAAGGGAGAAAATTCTGATAAATTTTGTGCTAGAGTTGTAAATCTTGTCACATATGATGTGGTTGATGACTAGAAACTTATATTTATAGTTTGAAGAAAATACCTTAAAGGGACTTCACTGAGTTTTGTTTTAAGTGAAGGGACCGAAAATATTTTTTTCAAGATTTTCGTATAACTTGATATATGTCTAGACCAATAACTCATCTACAAAATTTCAGATCATTCGCTCACTCCATTTCCCAGAAATAGTCGATTTTATTGTACAAATTGGCCCAATAAATGAAAACCGTTTAAACGCTTTTCACTAAAATCGGCAAAAACTCGCATACAAATCGATTATCTATTTAATACCTACGAGTATTATATTTATATATCTTCTATTGCTTGGTTTCAAATTTAAATGTACCAGTTGATTTAAGAAAGAATTTCCAAATTTATTATTTTAAGCTATATGACCTCAGTGGAGCTCTTTTAAGAAATAAAGAACAAACAGTGAAAAAGCGTAAAAAATAGAATCAGAAATCTTGAAATTCAGTCTATTTGTTGCCATAGCAATCAGAATTTTCAACATAGGAAGAAAAGAAAAGGACGTACATAATCTCCAGGCTGCCATCTACCCATATTTCAAGTTTCATGAAACTATTTCCAGTACTTTTTGCGTTATCACTGGATCCAGGTTATGTGTAAAATTTGCCATATTTTCAGTCTATTTGTTGCCATAGCAACCAGAATTTCAACATAGGAAGAAAAGAAAAAGACGTGCATAATCTTCATTGTGCCATATATACATATGTCAAGTTTCATAAAAATATTTTCAGTACTTTTTGCGTTATCGCGGGATCCAGTTTTGTGGACGGACGAACTGACAGACGGACAGACGGACGGAGGGTAAACTTAAAGTCTGCTCCGGAAAACCCGTAGGGGACTAATAAAATAATATTTTGCCATAATATAACTTTATTTAATAACTTGTTCAATAAATTCAGTATTGAACCTACACTCATTCAATATGTTCTATACATTGTATATCTGCTGCAAGAAGTATTTTTTAAATTTGAACAAGCATGCTTTCCAAATATATGTAAGATTCTTAGTATATTTCGGAGCAAATTGCGCATACACAAACGATTTTGAACAGAAGAATCACTACTTTAAATTCAAGCAAATGATCTTAATATTTTGTTTTGAACATTTTATTCTGTATATGATCAACGTTCATGTTCTTTAACATCTCTTTGGAGAATCTACCTTGTTTTAAAAAATATTTCACCAGATATAGCTTTAGACCTTGTAAGCAAAGGCATGGTGCGTATATGAAACATAAAATTTACCCTGTTCTTCAATGATATACTTCTTAGCTGTTTTGAATGATTCCTTGCTTTCATTTCCATATATAGCTTCAATTTTTAGAAAGTAGTTTCCGTTCTCATTAGGTTTGGACGTGACTATCTCAGTATACTTTACTTGTTGGTCATTACCACACTCAAAGTCGTCAGAACAACTGCTTTTGTATGGCGTACGGAATTTGGGTATAATTTCTTCCTCAATTGTACTACCAGTCTATATAAAAAGACATTTGTTAAGTGAAATAAATAAATTATTCAGATGAAACTATCATACAAAGATATTTATTTATTAAATACAACAAATATATATTTCAATATTTTCAATCAATATTGCAATTGCGTAAATTCCATTTCATTATTACAAATATATACCAAGAAGACAGTATACTTTTAAAAGAAGATCGCAATTAATGGGGAACATACATATATCTTTTTCCATTTAAACAAAACATGTGTGTTGTTTGAAATGCAACCAGAAATCGCTGTTATTGTCCCAAATTTTGTATCTTCTAAAAGTACGGGCTCGTAGTCTGCAAAATAAAAAACAAACAAAAACAAATTGTCATTTTACTCATGGCAAATGCTTGGTAATTGAGGTTGCATTATAATATTGCAGTTATCATAATTATGAGAGTATATAAATATATACATGTATATGTTAAACAGACTTTTATTGCTAGACCCTACAACTTCAATGAATACAGAGATTTTTAAAATTTAGATTTGTCACTTGATATTCAATTGTAAATCTTTTTTGCTACTATGAAATATACTTATTAGTCTGAGAATGGGATTTGATTAGACAAATGCAAACTGATATTCTATGAAAACCGAGTTTACCACATTGTGTTATACTGTCCCTAACTTGACATTATTATTCAAGAATTATTTTTTTAGTCCGGACGGCAGGAAATAAACTCTCACACGCTTATCATAGTAGTGGATAGTTAATAGCATTGACACTTTATATTTTTGATGTGTCACCTCTACAGAGTAGTGGCAACATATAGGGATCACTTCTCTATCGTATGTCTGTCAGTCCGTCGGTCTGTCTGCCCCTCACAAAACTTGTTCGGACTACTCCTCAAAAGCTACTGGTGCAATTTCATCCAAACTTTACTTATCATGACCAATCTATATACCAAATATGAAAACTGTGGGTAAATGGAATCTTAAGTTATTGGGCGGACAAACGTTTTGAAGTAAAGGCCCCTGTGACCTTGACCTTAGACCGGGTGTTCTCAGAATCAATAGGGATCATCTACTAACCATGACCAAACTAAATATAAATTTCAAGACTGTGGGACAAAGGAATCTTAAGTTAATGGCCGGACAAAACTTTTTGAAGTCAAGGCCCAGGTTACCTTGACCTTTGACCCGGTGACTTCAAAATCAATAGGGATCATCTACTACCCATGACCAATCTAAAAACCAAATATCAATTCTGTGGGTCAAAGGAATCTTAAGTTATTGGATGGATAAGCTTTTTGAAGTCAAGGCCCCTGTGACCTTGACCTTTGACACAGTAACCTCAAAATCAAAAGGGATCATCTACTATTCATGACCAATCTAGATACCATATATGGACGGACAAGTAAAAAACGGACTGAGGGCTGGACAGACGGACGGCCGGACAGACAAGCTGATTCCAGTATACCCCCTCCCCCCTTACAACTTCATTGTGCGGGGGTATAAATATCAATGTTGAGTGCAAAGCAATGAACATAAAAATACATTGCAATCATCATACTAATTTGTAACATTTTACACAGTAAGGTATAACAACATTAAACATAAATCGCATACAAGCACTGTATATAATTACATAATTATAAAGTTAAATATACACAGATAAATGCATGTTTCCTTTTTTGAAAGCATGATAAATATACATTGCTAAGTTTTCGATAGTTTTTATATCAGAACATGACATTAACCTGTAAAAAGACTGCAAAGTTAGAACTTCAACATACTTGGCAAGTAAATACTTAATGCGAATATATGTGTACAAAGGACAAGTCATTACAAAATGTAACTCATCTTCGACATAACAATCACAATACAAGCATTTTCGATATAATCTAGGGATACCAACATATCTACCCTGCTCAGTCATCAAGGTATGACTACAGCTTCGTAACAAAGCTAAACATTTTCTAAATGTCAATGTTCAATATATACTGTTCTGTTTTAAAATCAGTTTTATAGTTCACGTAGTGAAATAACTTTTTGTTTTCACAATATTTTGCATACCACAACTGCTTATATTGATCTATAAGTCGCTGAACATAAGTTCGTCATCATCTACATACTGGTTTTACTATATATAACCAAATCCATTTGCATATAAGTTTTGTCTTACAATTTAGGCCTAATTTTTTATGACCGATTCTGTCAAAATAACATTGCATTTCATTGCATAAAGTTTAACGTATATATCTGTTATTAGGCAAACGTAATAAGCGTAACCAATATTTGATGCAACGTTTCACAGCACTAATATACATAGGCAATATTCCTGTGTCAACCAGGATTGCATCCTTACAAGCATTTGTATTTACTTCTAAAAACCTTTAACAAGCATAAATCTGTATGTTTTCAATACAATTTGAATTTTCTAGACCCCATAACTCTGCACCATAGAGCAAAATTGAACAAACCTTAGTATCAAAAATCTTTAAAAAAGTTTTGTATGGAACATTCAGCGTATCAAATGAGGTAAGCAGCTGTACCAGCACTCTTTTACCATTATTAGCCATATTTTCAGACATCTTGTATAAGGACAAACGACAAGTGAAATATACTCCAACATATGTAAAACCATTGACAATTTCAATTGGACGATTATCATAAAATCATTTCTCATTTGATGCTATTCCACCACCCCTTTTAAAGACCAATTGTATAGCAATATTTAATTTGTAAGTATTACAGAATGTACATAATATATTCGACTGATTTTGCAAAACAGAAACAGTATCAGATATTTATCCAATATCATCGGCAAACATAAGCATAAAAATCTCTATATTATTTGAGAAAAATTGTATCCTTCTAATATTATTTCTAGAGAACAAAGAATAAAGTTCATTAATTAAGCAAGAAAATAAAAATGGACTCAAATTACATCCTTGAACCAATAGGACAGTCGAAATTATTTGTAAAACCAGCTTGTGATCTTACTTTGGCTTTTACCTCAGCATAAATTGATGCAATAGCATAATATAAATTACCCTTAATTCCATCATTTCTCAAAATTTCAAACAAAATATTCCAGTCTACAAAATCAAATGCTTTCTGAAAGTCAATAATTGCAACATATAAAGATTTGCCTTTTGCATTCAAATATTTATTTACAATAGAATGTAACACGAATACATTATCCAAAGTTGAATAGCCGGTATACAAAACCAACTTGACATTCTGAGATTTTTTCATATGCATTGACATAGAAAGTAACTCATTTTGTTAAATCTCATATGTATATCTTGCTAACTGTATCTAATAATACAATACCACTATAGTTGTTAGTTTCTTTAATATTATCTTTCTTATGAAGTGGTATAATAATAGATTCTGCCCATTTAACTGGAAATTCAACAAATAAAAATAATCTATTGAACAGTTTAACAAGCAATGGTATCAAAACATGAGAACCATATTGTTTAAGGAAGCAAATTTCTAGCAGTACCTTTATTAATGTTCAAAGATTTAATTGATTTTAAAACCTCACTTTCAGAAAGTGGGTCATTAAAAAGTATATTCTCAATTTCATCTAAATTTGTGTTTGATTCAGTGTCAGTGTCATGCAAAAGGCAATCTCCCACATGTATTTCACGTCATCAGTGTAAACAATTTACTCAAATGTGTATGTCAAGTATCTAGGGAAATATTTGTAGTGCTTTTGGTCTTGTTTGAAAGTTTATGTATTTCTTTCCAAAAAAGCTCAGGGTTATTTACAACATTTTTTAATTTATGTGCAATTCTTATATCATATTCAGCTTGCTTTCTACTACATAATGTTTTGTATTCATTCATAAGTCTCAAATATTCATTTAAGGTAGAACGCGACACTTTGCAAACTTTCGAGTAGCGTCTTGAAAATTGGCACACACAAAGTTGACCATATTTCTGATTAGGTTCCGTTGATTTTATTTCAATAGTTTCAGACAATTTTTGTACACACGGCGTCAAAGTTGACCATCAAAGCCCGTTTTCGAACATGACGTCGTTGCGTATCCTTGGCAACTTTTACGGGTATTTCAACGCCATTGGCGGACAAAATATCTTAAATTCTACAGCATTCGACGGAAAACATTTTTTTCCTTTAAGCTGATATAAACTTCATTGTTTTACGCCGAAAAATGTTTGAAAAATGGAAAGAAAATTGTCAATTTTGTGTAAAATTTGACGTTCAGTTTAGCCGCAATTTTCGGCTTTAAAGCGGCTTATTTAAAAATTCCTGAAATAATTTTTTTAATTTTTTTCTTTAAAAGTCCTTCAAAATGTATACTTCGTCAAAATAACTAAAGAAATTAGGGTGTCACCGACTCAAATGTTTCGGTACATGTGATTTTATTTCCTCCACCCCTTGAGTAATTTTGTAACGAAATTCGACGTATGCAGATATGTTTGAGACTTCAAAGTGTGGTAATAATGTTCAGCTTATCAGGAGAGTTGTTATAAAATTTTACTTATACATAAGAAAAAACAACAACAATGATCCACTGCAAATGCTTAAAATTTAAAATGAAACCTGACGATAAAAAAGCATATTTATATTTAAAATCTTAACTGGGATTTAGGCGTTGATATTTTTGCTTATTCATAACATACGCGCTATTTTTTTACGAGCACGTCACAATTTCCGATTGATATATACTCGATTTTCTGAACAGAATCAAAGACTGGAACTCATGCTAGTAAAGTCTAAATACAGGTACATTTCAATATAATGTGTTACTTGAGCTAAAAGGAACTGTCAGCAATGAACGAAACTATCATTGGCTTGGTCAAAGTACAATTTTATTGAATTTATTTTCGCCTTTCCATTTTGTGACGTTTATGTTTGCTGAAAAAATGTATGAAAAACAAACAAATTTTCTTCTTGTTTTTAAGCATGATTAAATAAGCATGATTAATAACTTCATATGGAATTGTAAACATACAAATGTATAGAGAATGACGTCAGGCTTTCATCGGCAACGCGTACGCTGCGCAAACAAATAATACAGCGGAGAGTTATCATTGCAGTGTAACTTTTTTATATTCTAATACATTAAAGTTAACAAGTGGGCCATGATGGCCCTGAGACGCTCATCAGAAATAACTGCTTATCAGTGTTGGGATGTCAATATATTCAATTAAATTTGAGCATAGAATATGTAAACAATAATTTGAACAAATGCCATGACCTGAGGCATTAAAACTTTAGCTTAAACGGGACTAATCAAATTGATATGAGCAAACTTGATAAAAGACTACCTAAGAATGCTACTAAGTTTGGTGATCATCTATCAATTATTTCAGT